AAGTTCCATTGACTTCAGCGGAAGAGTGGACTCCTAGATAAATTGGGATAGGACTGTGGCATGGATTTCCTTTCTTTTGTTACTAGTACTACACCACTACTGATTTCTCCCCGTTTGTTCAGTTTGCATGAAATCCTACACAAGGATTTAGCACTATGTATACAAAGTCCTTCTCCCATGCAGACTTCCACAGAATTCCATTTCTACTATTCCTGACATTTTGTTAAGTATGGTTCAAAACTATGGTTAAGCAAACTAGCAAAGTGATAATTGGTTTGCAGTTAGCTTATTTAGCAGCTGATTGAAGTTTGTTTTAAACTGCAATTCCTGGTTAATCTGTAACCACGAGCAGGGAATTATAAAAACTCCAAGTGAATCCTCATTAATCCTCTTCCAGGCAGTGGGAGAAGGGAGCAAAGGAGTGTGCGCTTGAGTTTTTGTTTAGGCTTATGGAGCCTCATCCATGTAGTGCTAAATCCTGGCTTGGCATGATGTATGGTCACTGGCTTCAAGTATACTGACTAGGTCCAGAGAACACAATAACCAACACCAACAGGTTGGATATGGATGGAGTGTGACTTGTTGCTGGACAATGAGCTTTCGTTGAACCCAGCTGGGCCTTTAAGTCATGGATGTTAAGCACAAGCAACTCCTGAAGAGAGCCGTGGCTTGTTTGGAGGGGTTGTGAATTGTGGGTTGTTCATCATGGCTTGTTATCCCAGATGGGTTCAGGCACCGCAATAGCATACATTTCAACAATAACCCATGGTTCAAGGACAACACATATTCAGCCCATATGTGAGTTATCATGCTATCTAGAACTAGTCGATATCTTGAATACTTTTCTGAACAGTGGGTACAAATACTGAAAATAAATTATCTTACCCTTTCCCTGCCTATTCTCATTGCTTTCTTCTTCTTTTCAGTTCCTCCACACAGTCATCTCATTGTTAAATCTCTACTCTCACTAGCTTCCATTCAACTTCATGCCTCCTCTACAATGACTCTTTATTGCACTGAACCAGCGCTATTTCAATATATAGCAGGCAAATGTGGCTTGTTGCTATGGTTAACAAGCTGCCCAGAACCCCTGGACTGTTTTATGATTCTGGTGTGACTTGATAACCATGGCAACAAGCCACCCTCACTTGCTTTGCATGACACAGCAAGACACATGCATGAAGATAATTATGCAATTCCCCTTGGTGGACATGGCAGGCAGGAAAAGCCATCATGGTGTATTTCCCAAACCGCAATTCTGTGAACTGGGTCTCAAAATCCTCAGTAGGAAAGTGATACATTTTTATCCCAAGGGGAACTCACCCCCACCCCACTTGGGCTCAGTGTCAGGATCCATCCTGTCCCAAAATGTTCTTCAGCCTCTGAACCAAAGTTTGCTTCAGACTTAGTAAGTATAAAGTAAGATCCAGCAGAACTGTGGGAAGAGAGCTGTGGGAAGTGGGGAACCTCCTCTGCCCACTTTTCAGTGAAGTATTGGAGAGATGAGGGCTGAACTTTGGAAGGCTTTTCAGAGCAGCTGTGCTTGAGCTGGATTCTGTTTTATTTTCTGGTAAATCTGTGTAACTAAGCATGAAGGAGAGAGATCAGTTGAAGAGGTTTCTCAGCATCAGCTCAAGAGGACACAACAAAAATCTTTTTGCCCCATTTAACATGATGCTTGCTGATGGGCCAAAGCTTCTTGTCAGGGTAGAACAACGGATCATGGTCTGGCAGCCATAGCCCCGTCTTTAAGCTGAGAGATCCTCGTTGGTGTCAACTTTTCTTATTGCCTGGAACACTTCTGCACTTGCACTGGCCTTTTCATACTGAGCACTTTGGCCTAATCTGTCCATGCTTCTGGATAATCTAGTAACACTGAAAATGCTAAAGTGGAAACTGCTGCTAAACATGGGCTTTGAGACTTTGTCTGGTTCCTTGCCAGGGAAGAGATAGTCCATATTTACTCTGTGACACTCTGCCTGTGACAGAATATCAGTTTTCAATTTATAAGGAGGAAATAAAAACTCAGGTTCATGAGAAAGATCAAATGTTTTAACTTCTGCTGCTTTTTTGTCAGAGCCCCAAGATTCCCTGCAGTTGTCTAATGAAAATGCATTACCAGGCAGAGGCAAACTCAACTGCGAGGTTTCCATATAAATACAGAGCATTTTATACTCTCCTAGTCAGGTACACAGGTACAGGGAAATTAATGACAGAATGCAGACATTGCAATGAAAATCTGAGGTCATCATATACAGAACAGATAAGGAAGATCAGCCAAACATACAAGGGACAGTAAGGTAACAATATTTCTAACTGTTACTTAATCAAGGTCATGGGTTGTTGACTCCTTAATTAAATGATGTGTAACTTCTAACCTGAAGTGCTGATTTGGCTTTAAATTACGTTAACTCATGAAATCTATGTTTCTGTCAATGTGCCTGTGGTGAGGAAGCTGGACCTCCTGATAGTGCGCAGTGACCAAGGCATGTTTGGTGACCTTTCCAAGCATGCTCAATAATTTCTAGCCATTTGAGTCAAAGGCTCAACCACTTTCAGGGCAATCAATGGTGACCCTGAAGCCTGCTTACTTTAAGACATTATTAAACACTAACCTTTTCCCTTCTTGCTTTCTCCTCTTGAGCTACTCTTTGATTTCTGTTTTATTTCCTGTTCTTAATCTTTACATTTCAGCTCTTTCTTTCCTTGTTTCTTTCTTTCTAGAACATAAGGACAGCATTGCTGCAGTCTGGTAAAGGCCTATCTAGTTCAGCATTTTCTTTGCAGAGGGCCATGGGAAGCCCACAAATAGGAATTGCATGCAACAGCTTGTGTAGTTAAGAAATAATTTCCCAGTTTTCATAATGATATAACCCCAAAGTGAGGCACAGTTTCACTATTTTCTCCAGCTTTCCACTCCTATTGCAGCTTCTCCCCTCCCCTCCCCTCCCCTCCCCTCCCCTCCAACACATTGTGAGACTACAGGCAGAAGTTTCTATCTTTGTACCCTCATACATGGCCTTGATGCTTAAATGGAGATGGATTCCACATAAACCTTGACTCTGATTTGTTGTTTAAAATGTTGTCCAAAGTGTAAATAATGGACAAGCTGTAACAACAAGAAGGAATCTTGCAAAGGGTGGCCACTGAATTTTCACCAAAGAGTTGCGGCAAGAAGCCTTGGAGTAGTTTCAAGCAGAACGTCTTGCGTAGCTGTCCCATCTTCTTCCTTCTAACAGAGGCTCTACATTAAAGAAAAAGGTTGGAGAACTGGTGGGGAAACAAAGGAGGCTCATGAGAAGAAGACAGTGTTATCTTAACATCCCACCCCTGTAAACATTCCTGAATGATGGAGGACGGTTGTGCCTCATCTTTCACCATTCCAGTGCCAAACAGATTAAGCACGTACAGTAAATGTTCTTCAGCAGCAGCATCCACTAAGTCAGCCTTCCCCAAACTGGTACCCGCCACCCCCAAATGTGATATACTGCCTGTCCCATAGGTCCCAGCCAGCAGGTGAGAGCATTCTCTTTAGAATAAGGAAACCTAGGATCAGATCCTCACTTACAGCAAGGAAGCTTATGGAATGACCTTTGGTCAGGCACCATTGCCCAACTTAACCAAGCTTACAAGATTGTTGTGAGGATAAGGAATGAAGATGACACTCCTCTTGTTTTGCTTTTGGAGGAAAGGCAAGATAAACATGTAAATAAATGAATTAATGCATTACAGAAGGAATTGCAAAGACAGACACCCTGTAGCAACTTCTTTTTGCTTGTCGATAAAAAAAATTAAGATTTAAATTGAGTTCTATGCTTTCTACTACTGGTTGTTGTATTTGGTTAATTCAATATCACTTGTTTCCTTGCTTTAGGGCTTTGCATATGGTTGTGAAATGGTTTGTCCCCACCCATCTCTTCCGAACACCAAGCTGAGAGGCTGGGACTTCAGACAGGAAATAGAAGAGTATATTGTTATTTTTCTGTCATGCAATATATGAATGCCCATGGGGATCTACAACTCCTCAGAAATCTGAGATTCCTTCCCCAGGGAATGTTCCACCATATTGCAGCCGTGCTAAATCCAGAATGGTGTCAGTTTACATTCTAGCAACCCCAACATGCTTCAAGTCTGGTTGAAACTCTCGTTATGCTGCTTATAAAATCAATTCAGGCAGCTGGACAATATGAGCCTGGATACTGCAGCTAACCTAATCAGCCAAGGTGTATTACTTTTCCCATGGAGGCTACTTTGTGCTGGAGATGAAGGAGACAACAGACATGGGGCTGTTCAGGGTACTCTGGTAATCATAAATTGGTTAAGATTCCCACTGGTCTAACTAGAGTAGGGGTCTCAAACTCAACTTACCTGGGGGCCGCTGGAAGTAGAGTCTGGGTGAGGCTGGGCCGCAGCAAGTATTCCACCACCACGGTGGTGGTGGGCCGCTCATCCAGAAGCCGGCCCAGGCGCCGCCGACGCTTTGAAGGCCGCAGGGCCCCTCCCCTGAGCTATCATGAAATCAGCTATCCAGCCAGACTTTGCAATCTCTGAAAAAAGGATCCAGGGACCAAAAGATGCAATAAAGCCAAAATTGGCTCATGATTGCCGAGGGGAGGGGAGAGGAGAGCCAGTTCTGTCCTCCCCTGGAATAAGCACAAAAATATCCTTTTTTGCTTTGCTGCATGCAACTATTAACCTAGGATGGAAATGCACATCGCCATTCTCATCAGGTCTTTTTAGTTCAGAAGTGGCAATTTGTGGTCTTCCAGATGTTCAGATGATGGCTAGGGCAGCACCTTGCCCTAGCCAGCACAGGTCAACGTGGCAGATGGAAACTGCAGCCCAGCAATATCTGGATTGCCAGAAGTTGTCCACCCCCGATTAGGTTAATGGGGACTGAGGAGATGCACTGTAACATGGGCCTGTATCAGTGCACAGAAGTTAACAAGAACCGCTTTCCAGAAAAGTTGCCACCAAGAATACGAAACAGAGGCATCTGCTCATTTGTTCGTGTTATTTATTACTTCAAAGTCCGATATATACATAATGTATATCCACATCTTGTAGGATGGACTCTTCATTTATACAGAAATATCTACAGAATATAAATCAACTCAAGCCATTGCTTTATATATTTTTGTCTCCATACAGATACATACAAATGGAAGATTGACCATAATGAAACCATCAGCATACAAAATTGATAATGTCTATTAAGAGTGGGGAAAAACCCATAGCTACAATCCACATACATACATCTGGCACCATTTTCCCTTACATATTTTCCCTCCCACCACTAGAAGACACAAAGTGTTTTCTAGCACCACCTACTGTTAAAAAAACAGTAATGATCTTGGATGTAAAAGATTATGAATTATATGCAAGAAAACATTTGTAGTGGATTGTGTAGTCTAAAAAAAGAAGATACTAGGCTGATTGGGAAACCATTTTCTATTCTTTGTTTCAGCAGCTAAGCATTTTAAAAGCAGGACACACGTCTCCTTGCTCAGAAAACAGGTGTTATTGGTGAACACCAGTCAGCATTTAGCCATAATCATACTTACATGAATTTAAACTTAAAGGAAGAATTTGCAGGCAAAGAATTATTAGTGGCAGCAATGCACAGTTTGGAGGAAGACAATATCATGGAGATAGTGTTAAGAATAGGGTTAGGTGAAGTTCACTGTAACTGGTGAAGGGCTGCATCACGAAATGATTTGCATGAGTTCGTGCATTACAACTTTCTGTACTAAGTTAAGCAATTGCCCCACATCACCCGAAACAGAATACTTGTAATGTGGTCATTCAAGTAAGTGTAAGCAAATGAGAAATCAAGTGATGTATACATATATGTGAATAAGCCTTCATTTATACACTCCTTGAAATTCTGTGATCTGTGCCCAAACAGGCATATACAAGTCAGTGTTTTTAGGGCCGGCCAGTATTCTTCCCTTATGCATCACCATAGTGAACGGAACCCTCAGATGACAATCAGCCTAGCCCTAAATACAGATGTAAGCACTAGCATGTTGGCAGAACTGTTCATACTCCACAACTTGGTGGAAACCCAGAAAAAGAGAATTTGGTACTGGGGCAGAATTCAGTCTCTTGGGAATCTCTGCTTTCACATCAGTACTCTGAAAGCAAGTCTCCAGATATTACGGCTTGAAAGGTGCTGATTAGCATCGGATATGGTATTTGAAGTTCTACAAAACAAGTACTTCTAACATGCCATATGTTTGTTAGTCACTGGGGAGGCAAAGAACTATGGTCCCTGTCCAAAGCTAACAAAAGTGTAGTAAGTTATGTTGGGAAAAAATGCCTTTTATGAAGATTGCAGAATTAACTTTTCTTGGCACAAAACTTGAATTATCATGATGAAGAATACTGGCTGAGAAGTTTATTAGTGTTAGTCTATAGTGTATGCACATAACTGAATTGCTGGGATACACACAGGGCAGTAAAACATTTTTGGATTGTTGCAACGCTCAGGGCACTATTTCAGAATCAACTGAAAGAAATTTAGATACCACTTTTCATATTATTATTCTCATACAATGTACTGTTCTCGTTCACCGAATGTTTTATACACAATTTTGGCCAGAAAGATGCTCTGTCATGTACTGCAATAACTGTTCATGCTATTAATGATTCAATCTCCCACCTATTTTGGCAGTTGAGTTAGCATGAGTTTCTCTCTCTCTCTCTCTCTCACACACACACACACACACACACAGAGAGAGAGAGAGAGAGAGAGAGAGAGAGAGAGAGAGAGAGAGAGAGATTTCAACCTAGAAGAAACTGTGGAAGAATATAGCATGGGGAAAAGGTTAATCCCTTTTTCTAACACTCCAGTGTTCCAATCTAAATCTACCACTCCTTTCTCCGGCAGGTTGTATTTACCATAAAATCAAAAAAGCAGGAGAATTAGGGTGCTTCTGGAAGAGCAGCTCCTAGCGCTATCGGTGAGAAGGCATTGTGCAGCTATTCCATCCTTCTCTCCTTAATCATTTTGCTTTGGTAAGAACAATGCCAGCTAGTATGAAGACAGGGGAAGGTTACCACTGGAAAACATTGTCTGGACTTTTTGGAAAATTTTCACAAATATGGCAGGGTGATTGCAAAATTACAGCCTCATTTGGAAGCACCTCTAGTCATAATTCTCACTATTAAGTAGCTACCCTCTGGACCTTCAGATTGCATGTATGAAAAAATAGTAAAGGTACTATCACATTGAATGGCCTCCAAATGGCTCACACTGAAAGATGAAACAGATACTGCAATATTTCTATCAGAAAACACTTTGCTAGGCCTATAACAAAACCTTTCCCAAACTGTTGGAACATACAGAAAGAGCCAAAATAGCAAGACAATCTTTAACAGAGAGTTGTGTTTAAGCTGCTACAAATATTTATTTGAACACATACACAGGACAATTGCATGTTTTCCTATCTCCACAATGCTTTTTTCTTTACCCCACTTTTCACAAGAAAAGCAATATGAATTACCATCACCTGTATTTCTGTGCTACTGTACAAAGCAAAACTTTCTTCCAGAATCAGGCCATTGGTAATGTCAAGTTTTTCTGCATTTTTGATGCCTGGACCTTTCTTAAGTTATCAACATACAACAATGAATAAACACATATAGGTAAGTGCCAGAGTTATTCTTTTACATGGAAAAATGCCAGCCTACATTAGGTTTTCCTGTTAAAGACGCATGACATGCCTTACTTCTGTACTTTCCATATTCTCTTTTTCCTCTCTCTCACACACACAATTTGGTTGCTTTGGATGTACAAATCTCAGCTTAATTAATGGCAAGACAATTAATTCACCTGCATGCTCAGACTTTGTGCCACTCCTCCCCTTTTTGGCAGAGTTTAATCTAGGAAGTTTTATATCAGCCATGGTTTCCTGTTAATGCAATTCTGAAACAGAACGGTTACCAGGTTCAGAACAAGCAAGGATCTTAACCCAAACTCTACCTTATTTATATGCATTTTAAGATCCTGGTTTGTTCTGACCTCAGTAAGCAGTTCTCTTGTTCAGCTATTGCAGGAAATTATAGTTAATGGAAGACTCCCTAGGTTATCTTGATATGCCTAGAAGTGATGAAATGGGATGAGGATGCAGTGCACAAGCTCAAGGTTTGTACAAATCTTGGCTTATTAACCTGAGATGCATATGTCTGATCTAGGTTAAATACAGGAATATACTTCTTAAAAGAATGATCACAGTCAGACTGAAGAATTACATTATCCTCCTCCATTTGCATTTAACATTGTTCTCTCAACAACAAGAGCACATGGTAGCCACTAAAAATTTGCTCATGCAAATGCCTATCTTGTGTTTAGCATTCTGAGTTGAGTGCCTCATGCAAAATATGTTTGCATGCCACTGCAAACAGGCAGCGTTGTGGTGATATGTTCAAAGTCCAGTTCTGCACGTGAAAGCTGCTTTGCATCACTAGCTAGCCACAAGTTTGCATGCTAGTGTGCAAACATAAAGCTGACACACTCTGGGTTTATTCATATCGTTAAGAAAAATAGGGTATATCAAAGGCTCCTTAGAGTGATGATTTTGTTGAACTATTGGCTATTTCCCCCCTCAATATAATAATCTAAATATTTTAAAAGGCAAGCTCTTATTTCTGTTGGACCAGTTCTCAAGAAAGGAGAAAAGGTAGTTCAACCCAGGAAGTTCTGAGTGCATTTAACCCAGCCTCAGGGCCAAGACAAACATAACACTTTTTAAACATGATCCTGCTTAATAGGCTAAATTTATGGTGTTCAATGATACACTGCTCTGAAAATAAACACCATCTTACCGTACAATATCAACAAATGCTTTTTTTTACAATTTGACATGCAATAACTTCTGATCATTAATACTAGTTTTGCAGTATTAACTTGGATGATGCACTTGAATTTAAAATTGCATGCCCATCTAGTTTCAATCATCCCAGTTCTAATTTATATTCAGTAAGTTCAAACAAAATTTGGGGACAATTTCTAAGAGTGCAAGTGTCTAAGTATCTACTAAGATCTACTTAGTGTCTACTAAGGTGAGTATGGCATTGCAGCTGACGTTCATCATGTGGAGTGTTCACTTTGGAGTGTTCTCTCCCTGCCACCCAAAATGTATAGATAATGTGAGTGTGCAGTTTAATGTTATGAACTGGAAGGCAAACATGTTTTGCTTACTTTCATGTTACTATTGCACACATGTATCACACTTTCAGAAAAATATGAAATGGATGACGGCTTTTAAAAAAATACAACCTCTAGCATTATATACATATTTATACAATGAATCTGTTTAGTTTTCCTCCCAAAAACTTAGTTCTGGGTATGACTAAGTCTATACCCTTGAGAAGAAGAATGGAACCACACACATCTATGTAAACAATTCAACTGTTTTTTTGAATAAACAATCAACCAAATACTGTAACCTGACATTGACTTTGTTCCCTGCACAAGAGAAGTGGGTCCTGGGTGTGCGTGCGTGCGTGCGTGCGTGCGTGGGGAAATGCAATAGAGAGAGGAATGTTGATCAGAATTGAAAGGCATGTGGAAAAATGTTGAATAGCCATTTGATTAGTATAATGTTAAAAATAGTCACAAATTATTTACATTTTTCTGCAGAGTGCTTTTGCACAGTGTCTATTTATATAACAACAAAAAACTACTTACAATAATGCATTCACTTGAATCTCCAACTTCCTGAAAAGGGAGGTGGAGGGGAGAAAGACAAGACTTTGCCTAACCTTCCTCATACCAGGGCAAGTACAAACCTGAACATGTGCTGTTCCCTCCAGGAAAAGGAACGTGAAGACAGACATTTAAGCAGAAGAAACTGGAGCTGTTTCCTATTGCTCTGCTGCTGCTTGGAAACACAGAGACATGCTGGTACTTGTCAAAGCAAGGCAAAGAGGCAAGGCTAAAACTTGTGCCTACTCATCTTCCTTTCTTGTTTCCAACAAGAGAAAGCTTTATGAATTCCTTTTATTTATTGTATTTTATATATTTCTATTATACATTATACTTGTTTTATTTATATTCTGTCTCCTTCCTATTGCAAGGAACCCAGGATGACTTGCGTACTCTTCCTGCTCCTCTCAGGGTTGTCCTCACAGCAAGGCAGGCTTAGGCTGAGAGTGAGTGACTGGCCCAAAGTCACCCAGTGAGCTTCATGGCCAAGTGGGGATTATAACCTGGGTCTCACAAGTCCCAATCCAACACTAACCACTATACACATTATATCCTGTCAATCAGCAAGAATTCTTGCAGGCTAATTAATTTTTGATGCCTTGCTGGTTCTAGTTCTAAAATTATTCACATAAACTGCAGCAATTGGATAGTTTTTCCTGTCTACACTGCAAAGAGCAGGAACAAAGTAATTGGAGTCCTATTTTTTGGTAGCATGAGAAAATGAAGTCAGAGACTTAAGTGCTCATACAAATGCCCTCTTTCCTTCATCCAACCATGTTGGATTACAGCATCACTACTTACACAGATATGCAATATGTTACTACTTTTTCCACAGGTTTGTATTGTGATAAACTTGTGCAATTTTTATTTCTGTTTCCATTTAGCAAATCTATTTCCAGGGTGCAAAATTATTACATTTCTCAACTTCATACTGTGTTAGTGATTCTCAAAGGTCCAAGAATAGTTTCAACAGCTTATGTCAAATAACCACAGTATAAATTTCTTGATCAATTTATTTTGTTTAGTTAAAATAATCTAATATCTGAAGAGTAAGCAGGGATTTTAAACAGCTCTCTCTCTCCTCTGATTGATAAAATATGCATGATCATGTCACAGGGATGGTATATTTAAATAAAACCATTTAACATACAGCCCTTTTCCAATGCATGTTAGAAATAAAACCACCTATTTAAACAAATCCAAGAATGTCTTTATGTTGCTGGGAACATGTTTATACTGTAGATGATGATAAATGGAATATGGCCAAGAGTCAACCCTCTTCTTCCCTACTCCTGGAGATAATAATAATAATAATAAAAAATACACCCCGGGTGTCTATTCTCCTTTCAAGCTTCTTCATTAAATTGGCATTTTAATTGCACAAAGCTGAGAATGCTGCAACCTCTCTCAATTAATGTTGTAAATCATGATATCTTGTTTGAATGAAAAACAATATGGCTGAATATAATGTACAGAAAAGTTTGGTGTGTCTGATGCTTCAGACAAGGCAAGTCCTGGGTTCTGCAAGCATTCACTTTACTTTGTTAAAGTTTTATAGGATTGACAGCAGACGTTGGTTTGGAGCACCTGTGCTTTCTGCCATCTTGGTCTTGCAATCAGTTATGTTTTCTTCAGCCTCTGTTCCAGTTCATGCTGCTGCTTAATTAGTCGTTCTATTTCTGTTCCTAGTGTTTGCAGATTTTCCTTTGAAGATAACAGAGAGAAATATTTGTTGACCTTGAATATCCAAATTAAAATAAAAATCTGCCTAGTCACTGAGGATGAATTAACTCAAGTCTGTTGCAGTCCAAGACCAGCACACACTTGCATCAAAGTATAATTAATTCAACAAAATTTTATTTCCAGATACATAGCCTTTTCTAAAAATTCTATGTTCACATAGGTTATGTTTTCTACTATAAATATCAGTCATTTACCATTCACTTCAAAGAAACCTTTCATACAGTACAGCAAGAAGCTGGAAGTATCTTAGAGAGCAATCCTATTACCACCTTAGACATTTTCTGGGTGGCCATGGGATCCTTTGATTTGCCAGACTGAGGTCAGAGATAGAGCTCTGACTCTGGCGCTGGGGCTCTCTGTTTTGATCCTCCTCTTCCATCTTTGCAGCTGGTGTGGAAATAGCCATGCCAGCTGCTTCTCCAAGATTAGATGAATAATCCTGGAAGCAGGGAAGAGGGGCAGGGAAGAGCCACCAAGATAGGGAATATCTTGGCAATGCTCCAGCCTCCTTTCCTCCACCCGCCCAAAAAAATAATTTAAAAAAGCACAGTAGTCAGAAAGCCAAAAACAGCCATCTAATGAAACTGCAGAGTGGGAGGAGTGCAGAAATGGGTATCACCTCTGCCCCTTTCCCCACTATGCAGTAGATGTTTGTATGAGCATTGTGGGTACCATCAATACGACTGAGCCCTTAAAAGTTTTTTTTAATTGTTAATGTTATCTTATTGTGATGCAATTTTATGTACTACCTTTTAAACAAAAACTGTTACACTAAATATAGATTCCCAAATTCAGTAGCCACAACTACGTATATTTCAATGCTATCTGCAGTTTTGCAGAATCTGGGATAGCTTGGTTTATAAATGGTAGAAGTACATAGCAACTGGATGGGCACCGGTCTACAAAGAGAAATGTGCTTGGAATGACAGCTCTGGTTGTATTTTGTTTTAATTTTTCTTTTGTGCTTTGCCTTTCTATCAAGAAAAATGACACAAGGTAGCTTGCAAACACAAACACTGATTAAAACTCAATGAAAATAATATCCAGCCAACAAACCCACTCAATACATCGAAGGTTTGCTTGAAGAAACAGGCCTTTGCCTGCCTCACCTCTCTTGGCCAGGAGGTTCTTCAGCCTGGGAGTAGCCACCATGAAAAGCCTCGTTCAGACCACCACCAAACAAGCCACTGAAGGCAGCCGTCTCAAAAGAAAGGCCTTGCCCAAGGATCTGAAGACACAGGCAGGCTCATATGGGAAGAAGCATATGAGCTTTCCTGTCATATGGCCGTAAGTTGTATAAGGCTTTACAGTTCATAACCAATACTTCGAATTCTGCCCGGAAACACACAAGCAAGGGAGTCATGAACTTCCCATAAAATGCCACAGTCGACAGCCTGGACACAGCATTCTGGAGTGGTTAAAGTTTCCCAACAGTTTCCCAACAGAGGCAGCTCAATGTAGTACGCTGTAGTTGCCCAATTCAACAGGATGTATCTAAGGCATGAATGATTAGGGCCAGATTTTAGTGCAGCTCAGCAGTTTTATTAGGATGGATGCAGGTGGCACAGTGGGTTAAGCTGCTGAGCCACTGGGCTGATGATTGGTCAGCAGTTCGAATCCACATGATGGGGTGAGCTACGGTTGCTATGTCTTGCCTACCTAGCAATTCAAAAGCATGAAACTACGAGTAGATAAACAGGCACCACTTTGGTGGGAAAGGTAACAGCGTTCCATGCACCTTGGTGTTTAATCATGCTGGCCACATGGCCATGGAAGTGTCTTCAGACAACACTGGCTCTTTGGCTTACAAATGGAGATGTGCACTGGCCCCACAGTCACAGGGAAACCTTTATCTTTACCAGTTTTATTACATATACTGTTATTTTCTATGTGGGCTGTCACTTTGTTAACTACTTTAGGTTTTTGAACAGGATAAAGGCAAGCTGCTTACCAGTAAGTGTCATTCTTCGAGTGGTCATCGGTGTATTCACACATGTGGACTTTAATACACACACACACACGTGCACATGTGCACTCACACACTTTAGAATTATTCCAGGAAATGTCAATGCATTTATTGCACTCATAGCAGTAATCACCTTCAGAGTAATGTTCTTCAATAAGGTATCCTCCAGCACTGCCTGAAGCTTCCTGTTGATCTCCAGAGACAGTTCTAAGGTGAGCCCACTGTCTGCGGGGTGTGAGGTGTAGAGCGAGGCCATGATCCCACCGCGTCTACTTAAATGCACTTTGTTGAAGTCAGAGGCTTCAGATGACAGCGTGCCAGCTTCTTCTCTCAAAATGTAACTCTGAATTATTCTGCAAAAAAACAAACAGCATCAGATAATGAGCCTACAAAGAGTTACTCCGGGAACAAGGAAAGCTGTCCCGTGTTGAGCCAGGCTAACAGTCACTACCAGCATGGTAAGGTATTTTGGGAATTATAATACAATACAGCTGGAGGTTGTTGCCTATCCCTGCTCTGCACTGACTGGCAGCAGCTCTGCAGGGCTTCAGAGAGAAATCTTTTCCAAAGCTACCTAAAGTTGTTGGAGGCTGAACCAAACATCCTCTGCATGTAGAACATAAGCTGAAATAATGAGCAACAGCCATTGCCCAGTGGTCAATATTGGAACAGCTAAACCCTTTCTAAAAGTTTAAAGCTATACCTTGTACACACTTACCTTGATGGCCCAACTCTTGGGACTGGCTTCTGAGTTGCCATGAAGACTGTGGCACTGCAAATGTGTCACCTGGGAGAGCCCCCCCCCCCCCTTCCCAGTTCCTCAAGATTTAATAGCTTCCTGTTGGAGCACTAATACTCCAAACCAACTCTGAGCATGCTGTGAACTGCAGGATACTTTTTTCTGTCTAAATAGGCATAGGATTCTGTCCTTAATCCTCTTTTGCAAGACACAGCAGGCATTCACAATTAATTCTCCTTGGCTGTTACAGCAACAAATCCTGAGATATATATAAAATCAGCAGAACTGATTTTAGATAGACAGCAACAAGCCTCAGCAGTCCCCAGCTGGACTGACAGAGCCCAGAATCATACATGAGCATAAAAGGCCTCTATGGGAGGCCTTGGCAGTGGCCTACCAAGCTGGCTGCCGGAGAAACATCAACTGATGTTTCCAATCTCTGCCCTTACTTTGAACAGCCAGCACGTGCGTATTACTAGGAGAGCTGGGTTAATCCCAGCTGCCTAGGGATACCTGTGTCTCTTGTTACATGACTCTTTCAGACACATACAAACTCTCCTAAACAAGGTATAAATTAAAAATGTAACGAGTGGCACAGGCCCATGTTAGCCTTCACTTCTAGCCTCTAGCATCAAGACCCACTTCCCTGTTGCTAGGTGGCACTGTGGCACCTTTGTTTACCCAAACTGTGCTGAAAACAAGTAGCTCACTCCTCAACTAGCTGGTGCTTTCAGTCTTAGGAAATCTGTATTATACTATATATTTAAGGGTTTTACATCTTGCCCAGAGAGCTTTGGCTATTAGGCAGTAAAGGGTTACACTGTAATACTGCAGTATAGAAATGTAATCAGCAAAAAACCCACTTGCTCTCCTGGTTGGCAACAGAGCCCTCCTACACTCTATATTTAGTGCAGGAACACCCCAACCTCCTCAACAGACCTGGGCTCAAAAGTAACAGCTTGGTTGATGCAAAAACCCAAGAAGCACCAAAGAAAGCGCCACTCAATGCCATAGCTGGTCAACAGCAGATTCAAGTCCTCCCTTCTGCATTAAGCTCTATATTAAATGAACACTTTCTCCAGTGTGTATAAAAATAAATAGAAAGGATGACTTCAAGCCTGAGCCTCACACTCCCACTAGTCAAACTCACAAAGGGCAATTTTAATGCATCGTTTTTGCCATTTAGCTGCACCACTCTCCAGCTGACAGTAGCTAATTAATTTGCATGTGGAAATTTTAAAAAGTCATCATAAAACTGATTTAGCTGTACACTTCACTATGCTAAACAAGAATATAAAAATGTCCTTTATAGCAAATGGATTCCAATTTGCGTGTCTGTTAGTCTAAATCATTCTGAAAATGTACTTATTGCAGACTTAGCTGCAATGATGTATAGTTAGACAACAACTTACAAACATAGAATTGAGTACTACTAATACAAGTTAACTGTTCTTTGACAGAGATCAAGAGATTATCATCTCCAATTTGCTAGTCTGAGAGCTGCAAAGGAATACTTTCAAGCTTAATGCCTTCCCAGTAGGTAATTTGCTAAGGTCCAATTTGCATAAAAGGTAGCAATTAGGTGAACAGCAAATTGCTAAGTGCTTTCAGAATTCACTTTCAAAGCAGGACATTTTTACAGCAAAGACCCTTTACATATATCAACACACAATTAGCTTTGAATCATTACAGTTTAATCAACATAGCTATTATAATTTAATTCTAGGGTAAGTTCTGTTTAATGTTAAGAGATTTCTTTTACTGAATTAGCGTATTTCTATTGTATTTTACGTGCTGCTGGAAAGTGCTTCAGTACTGGGCAGTAGAGAAATAAAGTAAATGTTAATAATATGCCTAGGTAATGAAATAATCTTTTCTTCCTCACTGCCATAAACATGAAGTTATTTTGCATGCCTGGCACCACTAATCAAGAAATCGCATTGTGTTTATTGAGAAACATACTGGTACCGATATGAAGATTAGTATCGATCATGCACTATTATTTTGTCAAGCGTTTACCACAAGGACCAAATATTATACCTACTTTGTTTTTTTCCTGATTTCATCCACCAGTTGTTTGATATGATCCTCCATGAACTCCATCTTTTCATTCTTCCGAGCATGTGCTTTCTGTAGCCTTACTATTCTTTCAATCAAGATGGTTTTGTCCACTTCAGGGAAATGATCAACAGTGACAGAAGAGCCACTGTTTTCTGGTGAGCGGTCTTCATTGCTACTTCGCGCATTAAGAGATCCTGTTGAAACCAGTTGCATCTTAGTAAAATGTCCTGAATGCCATTTTCTCAGTAGAAAGGTAGAGTATCAACTGAATTTTAAAAAGCAATGCCCAATTCAAAATCCTATCATCTGCACTTATTACCTAAATCCAGTCATTTGCCCCTATTACCATGTTTCCCCTCCAGGTAAGAATACAGGAAACTGCATTTGTTTGTCTAGATAAATGGAATTATGATTTGAAGGACTGGGAAAGAAACAAGTCAAAAACAAGCCTTTGGGCTTCAAGGTCTTTGCAGAACAAGAGTTTTGATATCAGTTACAGATCACATAGATTAAACTGCAGGCCTCTGTATTGAGCAAGAACTAATCATTTCTCTTCAGGCTGAAAGCACCAAACAAACAATGAATTTTAAAGCAGCAGGCTTGTATGTAATGCACAAATTGATTTTCCATTTCTGTGCTGCCAACTTTTGAGGAAGCAGTGCACATTGTAACAGATTTTATTTGCCACCCAAGGCACATTTGAAGATAAAAATCAACAACTACAAATGCCAAGCTTAAAATCTCCAAAAACGATTCCAACATTTCACAGCAGCCTCCTGCAACTACAACTGTATACAAGATTACAATTCTCAAAGTAAAATCATCATTTCAAAAGAATTAGAGCAGTTAGATTTGCCTGTTCCTTTTTTTTTCAACTGTCTTAAGAGAAAGTTCTTAAGAGACATTCACTACCAACTCCTGTACTAGTTATAATTTTTTTCTTAAAAGAGCATGTAAGTACCATGGTTTTCATCATGTATTCCCTTATACAGGGTATGATGAAACAAGCTTTACAATTTTTCACTGCATTAGTAAGTCAAGTTTATTATAACTAATCTGGGATTCACTTCAGAAGCGACCTCAACACACATTTTCAAGAATACTCTAACTTAGGGAAAATTGTTACTCAATAGCGGAAAAGAAAATCATGCTAATAAAAATAGCATGGCATTTCATTAGCATGGGATGGTTTTTGTTTTTTTTAGCAATTAGCAAGACCAACAAAAGAATGTACCAGATGAGCTAGAGCGACTCCCCATGCTGCTGACTTCTTTATCATAGCTGCCATTTTCAAGTTGATCCAATTTTCTTCGTGCTAAGGAGACAAAACACAAGATCTGTGATGCCACACTGATGTTTGAACCTCCTTGTGAAACACCAGACAACCTAAGGTCTGAGAAATGTTAACCTTGCTGAAGTTGCTTGGTGAGGTCTTTAAGATTTGCTGCATGTTTTCTTTTCTGAGTAACCAATTCATCTTTTAATTCATCTGCCTGGGTGTTTAGGTCTGCAAAGGCTTTCTGCTGAGATACCAATTCTGCTTCAAGCACCTGAATATCCTTTCTGTGAAGCTCTTCTTCCTTCTGTAGTTTACTTGCCTGAATTTATAAAATAAGGGAAAAATCATTTTAAAAATCCACAGTTGCTTCCTCACACTGTGCTTACACCCCCCACCCCAAATATGAAAGAGACCTAAATATCAAATGTCTACATTCTTATCTACTATACTGTTCACATGAGTATGGAAGGAAATGGATCCATCATGAAATACAGAAAACAGAAAATGAAGTTGTGAGGAAAGTGGAAGGTTAGATTATTTGTTTCTAATAAGAGTATTTATAAACTAGTTTTGGGCTTATATGCTTGCTGATTCCCTTGCATCTCAGGTTGTGTCCCACAGGTTCTGCACAACTGCCACCCTCTCTGATCCCTCTCCATTCCCATGGGACGGTTGATCGCCACCCCCACCAAGCTGGGGCAACAGCACTTGAACTGCAGACATTCCCTGACCTTGATCTGCTGCTTTCACTTGCTGACATTCCAAAACTGCTTTGTCTTCACCGTCTGAACTCCACTTCCCATCAAATCTGTCAACAGACTGTGCCCTTCTGGTTGGTTTTCCCTGTGTGTGCGCACAACAGCATGCAAGACATGCAGGGCCAATCTGGGCCAGGTTTACTGCAAATCCAAAGGGGAGGGTTCCCATACCACTGCTTTTGCCCTGAAATTGCACTAGCATGCATGCAGTGCGGGCGAAGAAAAAATGTCCACCATTCATTGAAGGATTCCCCTCTTGTTGCACCTCACTCCCACATCTGTGGGTGGAATTTCAAAACAAAAGCTGGTGTGTGTGTGGGGGAGGACCTTACATTTCTACATCTTACTACTAAAGCTGGTTTGGGCAACTCCTGGAGGTATACTTTGATGAGCAGCTTGAGAACACAAAAGGGAAACAATTTTCCCTGAATAGACCCTTCCGCACTAAAGCAGTACTAAGTGAGCCATTTCCTCCCTGGAAGGAGCTTCCTTTTTGCCAGCCTGCAACAAGAAAAGCAGCTCAGGAACCCGACACTGCCATTGTTTGCAACGCAATACACATTCCTCAGTTAATACGTACATCATTCCATAGTATAATGCTTCTCACTTGTCATTCCCAGCTGCTTTCTAATTCAGGCAGATGAAAGGGCCAAATCATATGACCACCACACATGGTTCTGGGTAGCTCTATGTCTGTGCCAGAAGGGATATCTGAAACATTTCTATCAAAAGACCAGAACTTCCAAAGCTGGATTTCTGCATACAAAAGCAGAATTTCCCCCTTTGACAAACAAATCAGACATGGTACAATCCAGATATGAAAAGGAAAAGACTGGCTCACTTTGGGTCATTTCAGAGACAACCGTTTAGCACAAAGACAGGGTTCAATGGCATCTTCCAATATTCCTCAAGTAAGGAGTTCTTGTCACTGTGATTTGCTCAGACTGTAGCATTTCTATTGTAGCTATGTCACTTACTGGACAACAGCAAAATCAACAAGCTCTGAGTCTAGACTCACTCCAGGATTGAGAAGTAATCAAAAGTATTAATTACATCGACATCAATCATTTGATTAACAAATCAACTTACCAGCTCATCTCTTGCTTGTCTGACCAATTCCAACTGATTCTGTGACTCTCTTTCACTGTAGGTGAGTTTATCAAGTTGCACCTGCAAGGAGTTGGTTTCAGACTGTAGTTGGGCATTTTTAGTGGTCAGTTTTTCAGTGAAGACCAATAACTCAGATTCTCTTTTCCGGCTGCCATCAATGTCCTTCTGGAAGTCACTAAGCAGGGTGTTCAGACCATCCACTTCCTCCTTCAAAGACTTCATCTCCTGTTCATCTCTGTTAAAACAAAATGTAGTTATTTAAAGAGCGAGAAGTTTAAATCCAAGCAAGCAGGTATCAATTTCTTGGTTTTCCTATAACAGACCAGTACAATGTGTGAGCTGAACACAGTTCAACCATCATGTATTGGGGCTTTCCAGTTGTTTAGCAGTGTCTATTCTCCCACTGTTCCCATCCCATCCCACACTTTGCAGTCAAAACATAGGAAGCAAAAGTGGGAGGCAGATCAAATCCTGGGTAGCTTATTATACATGGCTGGTTCTGCTAAACTTGACGTGGAGAGGCCATGAAGCATCTATTGCAGCAGACTCAATATTGCAAACATGAAATGTAAGCCCAGAACCAGCCTATGATGTAGCTCATAGGCTGTATGGAAAATATTTAATTGTTTAAAATGAAGGGGGATTTCATTTCAGGATTCACCTTGACTATTAAGAGGTTCTTACAAACTGCAGACACTAACTGCATATTGCTTAGAAAAAGTCACTGTTGCAGGATTGATTAGAAGTGAGTGGTATTTAAGGGGATGCAAATGAAGAGTCCTGTAACTCCTATGGGAGCTTGATGATTGCGGAAACATTACTACATTCTAGGTAATTATTACCTACAAAAGCCATGGGCTGTGTGGGTGGTTTGATGTTTATATGATGCTTGCCTGTGTTCTGTATGAAACACATTAAACACCAAGGAAGTAGAGAATATACATTAAACCTTAGTTTACTTGCACCATATGGAAACATGATTGTGCTCAGATGTTTTTTATTCTGGCTACCCATAAATTAGATTGTTCTTTAATTTACAAGGCTGAATGCAAGAATTAATTCCAATTACTACAATTAAATGGAGCCTTACCAATGTAAAAACAAACACGACGATTACACAGTTGTTATTATATCAAATCATAAGGGGCAACTTCATGAATAGAATATAGGCCAAGAAACAGATGACATGGCAAGAAAGCAAGGGAATGAAGTGGAACTGAAATGGGGTAATTGTTAAAGGAAGAAACCGATAAAAGAAGACTGAAAACAACAGATGATCAGGAAGAATTGAATATCTTTAAAAATGAAGAAGCAAAAGGCAAAATAAGATTAAATTAAACAGAAATGAATCGACTGACTGGAAAAGAAGGCTTGTGGTCAACAGCAAACCTTGCAAGAGAATGTTCACATTTCATTATATACCAGGATATATATTGTAGTAACTGGACATACATTTATATTTGCAAAATGTGATGGACTTATTCTTCTGTAATGCTCACTTTTTAATAAGAAAACTGTGATGAAACACACACACAAAGGTTAAATAAGGAACTGCACAGTATTGGTCATTATTAAAACACTCATATTAGTGACTTCATTGGGCTCTAAATTTTATCAGCTTATAAAAAAAGATGAAGTTCATAAATATCAAGTTTACTTTTGCCTTTGAAATTGGGAATAGCTATTTTAATATTGTTTCAATTTTGTTTTAACATTTTAATATGGTTTTATTGGATAAATCCAACATAAATCAGAAATAGTTGGATTTATCCCAACAAACCCATTCAGATTAATGCTAGATTTAAGTCCTATTCCTTTCAACAGGTCTACTTCAAATAGCACTCAAGCCGGACTTTACTCTTTGCTTTTTTATAAGTTTCATGCATTTATTTGTATTTGAAATGTTATGCATGACCTGAGCAACATTTGTGAAAAGGTAATATAGAAATATTATCTATCAATAAATTATTGTATTTACATGAAACACTGTATGGTTAGAATGAAAATTCTCTCTAACCCTAACCCTAGTTATCATAGCCCAATGTCATTAAGATAATATTAAATATAAAAAATCAAAAGCATTAAAAGACTATATTCCACCATTACATAGCCATTATGCTTCCATAGAACTAGCATAATTTCTAGAAATTTAATGGCAACAAAAGATTATTTCTTTCCTCCAAGGTTGAATTAGTCAGTTTATGAAGGAGAGAGAGAGAGCGCGCACATGCAATAGTTTTTAAACACAAGCATTCTTAACTAAATCCATTAGATAAAATAAAGATTAAAAAGTGTTATTACCAACCTCTGATGCTGCTCCTGTAGGTGATCTATGATTTTTATTCTGTCCAGCAGATTCTGAATCTCAGCCTTCTGGCGATTAATAATTTCTCTGTATTTTGATAATTCATCTTCTGTTCTCAATCGTTCATCCTCTAGGCATTTGGCCTAACAACAACAGAACTTGTTAAGATAGGTAGTATATTTATTACTTCTAGTATGTTTTACTAGTTGCTTGAAGCATAAAAACATTAACAAACATTAAACAAATACATACATTATAGCTACATCTTAACCTATTTCTCTGTTCCTAAACGTATTCTGTCATCCTGTTTTTCATTTGAAGTCTCCTTCTCCCAATTGGTTACAGTCAGACTAACCAGAAATGAGCCATAGAGAGCTTTGTGCTGTGTACTTTCCCCTCCACTGCAGCTGTGAGTCTGAAAGCTGTCATTTCCATTTCATATTAACCACAGTGGGCTGCATCATCCAAGTTTGGTAAACTATGGTTAACCTTAACTAATAATAATAGAATAGGCTAACTTCAAACTGGATACCAAAAAGCTGGCCTGCTTCTACTAACCATCCTTAAGATTAGACACAGTTTAGGGCTCAGACCCTGATGGCCATCTTTCACAATCCTTGGTTTGGCAGCCACTGATAACCCATCCAAAGTGTCTGAATGGCACCTTGGTGGAGGGGGTTGAGTCTGTGGCTGGCAAACATTTCTTCTTTAAATTTTGCCCTCAATTTCACAAATATTTGCTTTTTTAAAAAAAAGGAAAATTAGTTTCGTTTGTTCAAGTCCCTTCATGGCAAGATCCTCAGTTTTTTGTTAGCGTGTTTTGCTGGGATTATCTTCAGGGTGGTACAGATTCTGCACTTCTCCCCCGAGACTCCAGCTACTTCAAAAAATGCATTCCCTCATTTTGCCTGGGGAAATGGAGTTTTGACAGCTAGCTAGTTTTGACAGTGCAATGGGGATTTGGACTGGAACATACACAGAGATAATGCATAAAGGAAATTTTAGACTGCTGTATAATACATAGTTAGGTTTAGGGTTCTCATCAGAATCCAATGAATCAATCAGTTGTCACGTTGCGAAAGTAATATGGGTACTTTGGCTTACCCTTATATTTTCAGAGAACAAGAAAGAACATCCTTCAACATATCCTAAAGATGAGAAATCAAGTAGCAATAATGAAATGCAATAGTATTGCTGTTGACTTCTCAATAGTTCTTTCCTCTCTTTCATGATTTTAAAATTGAATTTAGTAACAGTGAACATTTTTCCCCACTTCTATCAGCAGTTTGAAGATTCTGCTCATTTATTACAGTTGGATAATTACATTTATCTATGGAACAAGAACTGAAAAATGCATACATTTTGTGAGGACATAAATCAGAAAACAGGGTTCATCATAGACCCTTATGGAGTATATAAAATGGGTACCTTACCCTAACCCAAATGATTGTTAGCAATCTCTGAGAATCCCTATCTGGCACACAAATTAAAATTTGTGGCGGCACTCAAGATCATGGTAACTTTCTACAATTAATCTTGGTTTCAAAGTCAAAAGAGTCGGGCATAGTGCTGAACCAGTATCCTTAGAGATGCTCTTTCATTTGCTTGAGGTAATTAAAAATCTTCCACAGCTACAAGTCAATTTCAGAAGAAGATACTTTCAAGGTCAGGAAAAGAATGGTGGCACAGAAAAAGTCTGCTGCAAGAGTTATTTGAGACAGTATACTTATTTCAAATACTTTGAATATTCTGCCAACTTCAGTACTTCTTATATTAGAACACTTGAAAAAACAAATTGCCCATTTACAGTGCTTCTAATAAGTAATACAATACAGGAAACAAGTCACTGAAGGGAAGTGATTGTACAGTTCTGCTGCTTATCATAGTTTTTGGATTCATGTTGATTATTAGCACAATACCATTATATAATCATACTTTCATAGATGCTTCTAACGATTAACTCTGAAGAAGCAGATTTGGAGCACAATCCTATGCATATTTAGGCAGAAAGAAGTCCTCCTATTCTCAGCACACTCCAGGTAGCCATACTGGCTGCAGAATGCTGGGAGTTGTAGGCCTTGTTTATCTAAGCTTGCATGGGGCAGCACCTTTTGGTGATGGATTTTCCACAGACCAAACAAACACACCTGAAAGTCAAATGTGCACACTCTATGTAACCAATCTGTCTAGGTATAAAATTAGCTATCCTTATGTTTGCATCCACTCTTGGGGCTACAGGGAAATCTTGTTCCTCACCTTTGTCCTTAGGGTTCGCAGCTCATCCATGCCTTCCTTAAATGTTCGCTTCACATCTTCAAGTTCTTTTATTTTTGCTTGATGTATCTTTGAAAGAGAAGAGCACAGCTATGAATAGGATTCAGAGGAAAATGGGATCTTACCTCCTTCAACCCAGAGAGCGTTTATAATTTGGATCATGTTCTCTCCTGCTCCCCCAGGAGTAGCCTTGTAATAATATTTATCCCTTATTAAAGTGATGACTAAAGAAGTATGTTTTACCTCCAGATGATCAGACCTTTCCTGCAGGTGTTTTTCCAGTTCTCCTTTTGTAAGTCGGAGTTTTACATCCAATTCATTGGACTTAATTTCTTCAGATTCCTAACGGCATTGCAATTTTTAAAATAAGAATAGGAATAAACATTAGGAAATCAAATACTGAACTTTAACACCCCATTCAAAATCCCCTATATGAACAGTCAATATAATTTTATAAACAAAATATTTTATATATCCAAAAAGTATCTCAAAATTTATTGTACAAGTCACCTACCACACATTTACTATCAAAACATTATATCGTTATTTTCTAGTAAGTCAGGCTTGGAAGCAGTTGTTCTTTGTATCTGCATGAAATATCCAAATGTGTGTGAACTGTGTGCATTTCACTAGAGAGGTATACATGCTTCCCCTTCAGACATGACAGCAGAAAAAGGGAAAGTGGGTGCAAGATCAAAACAGCTCTTCAGCTGATAAAGGTATACCTTCCTCCTGCAAACCACATCACCAAAGGGCAAATGAACAGGCTGTGGGGTGACAGCAGATGCTACTGTCTCTGAACAGATCCATTTCCCCTTTGCCTGGCGTCCGATGTCATTTCTCAGACTCTTGGGAATAAACTAGGAGATACTGATTGCAGGAGAGTTATGCAACCACCTGCATGCAATCTCTAAGGATCTTAATATTGAAATAGGGAGAGCTGTACTATCTAGGTATTAAACCAAAGTTACACCACTTTTTGATGTTGCATATATTCTATGTTGCTGACACAGCACTCTCCACAGGATTAGAACTCAATTCTGCTTGCCTGACAGAGGGCAGCTTGATCCTGAGACACACCGAAGAGAAAAGCACCTATCAGAGATTCAAGCCCAATCCTATACATACCTAGTCAGAAAAAATGTCCTATAACCCCTAGTCTTCCCCAGACAGCATGGCTCTAGCTGCCTTAGATAGCACTTTAGGTGTCTCGGTAACAGAGACCAGGCACATGTTAGTTCACATATTTGGTCCCTAGCATCACCGCACGAAGACAGTGCTATACAAAGCACATGGAACAGCTGCAAGGTCTCCAGAGAACAAGTGCAATGTGGTACAAATTCAGAATTACTGCTGGTGATGGGAGCAGACCACAAGGACCGAGTCAGGTGAAACTGACACGCAAACCATAGTGTGGGCACCTAAGCACAACAGCTTGCTGTAGAAACAACTTCCCAACCAGATCAGTTTATGAAAAGGATGGCGTCATTTCAGATGTCTAACAGGGAGGTAACAGTAGACTTTGCAAGGAAATAAAACATATATGGAAGTTCAGCTGTATTTGTTTCATGTAAGATTACACCTACTTGGTACGTTTTTATTATTTCTTGGCAGTTCTTTCGGACCTGGTCAGCTTCCTCTTTTGCTTGAGTCAACTTCACTGTTGCCTCTTTAAGCCGATCTTTGGTGTCCTGGAAAATACATTGCCATTTAGTGGGAGTTAGCTCTTATTATGCAATAACATCAGTTATGCTGAGCGCAACACAGAAGTGACACAATTCAGGTTTAATACTGGCACCAGAAAAATAAATGAAACATATAAATGGCTCTGTTTTTTGAAAACCGAGAAGTCTCAAGTCTCAACACAAAGGATTACACGTAACCTTCTTCACAGTGAACAGGGAAAGAAAAGCAGGCCTTCACTGCCTCTCTTAAGAGACGGAGGGCATCCATGAACATTTCCGCCCCCTTCTTTATATATAAAGTGCAACCATTGCATATTATCTTTTTAAGCAACAGAAGGTTACCGGCAAAATAAGCAAGTTATTCAAATGTATGCAGAGGGCAGGTTTGCCCAAGAACAAGCCATAGTGTTTTCTTGCCAGTGTTGACCTGTCATGTTATCTGAACCCCATCATAGTATTTCAGCATGGTATGTTTGGTTTTTAGAAAGCACATGCAGAAAAAAACACCTGTTCTGTGTTTTTCAGTATGACGGCAGCTGACTGTGTCAAACCCAGAAAACACAACTCATCATGGTGCCAAGGCCAGAACCAGCAAGACATCTGGCAAAGGAGGCCCAGTGCTGCTCTTACCAAACAACGAGCCAGAGAGTGACACAGACAGCTGCTATTTTCCTCTCTGCACATACGCAAAGCCACAGACCTTTCTTGCAAACTGTCCTTTATTGACCAAGGCACTCTGCAGACACACTAACACCCAGAATGAATCTCTGAGCATGCCAGAGCAGTTGGTTGAACCCAAGCTAGTATTTAGTTCTAGGAACTCTCCTTATGAGTATGTTTGGGCCCCACCCTTTCAAGAGGGGCATTTTGGAAATGAGCATGCCTCCTCTCTGCAAGCTGAGCCTTTAATTGGGCCATCCTTGCCTGCCAACGTCATGTCACGGAATGAAGAGCTATACATGCCTCGTCTGTCACTGAGAAAATCCCCTGTTCCAAGCCTCTGCTCAATAGCTGTACATCTTGGTTATTCTCGGAGGCTGCCTGGGCACCTGGGGAGTCTGGCTTTGAGACAGCACCCCCACTTCTCTCATCCCATTGTCTGCGTTGCTCAACTGATTCCCTTGCCATCTCTCCACATGCATCAGAGGGAAGGCCTCTCATGTGCAAGTAGGAGAGGTGAAGATCGCTGGGCAGCAGTGCCCAGTTGGGGCTTGTGCCACTCAGCCGACTGACCCACTGACCCCATTCTCACTCCCACTCGCCTGAGAAGGATCCTGGCTCTGGGACTAGAAAGATGCTTGGCTGGGTGCCAGGTGAGGGATGCCTTTCTGGCAAGCAGGAGTGAGCAACAGGGAGAGAACCCCACCTCCTCATTTGTTGCTGCTGCTTGTAAGAGACTCACTCTGGTGGGCACTGGGTTGGGGACCTCTATCTGGCAAGTGGGGCTGGGAGAATCACCTAAGCAGCCTCACAAAAAACCCATAGCATTGCACTGCTAAGTATCATAGGTTTGCCTTTTATGCCAATTGTCTTCCCTTTCACCCATTTTCAACTTCTCTGCTACAGACACTTGAAAAGACTAGATATGAAAGATGGCATATTGAGAACTCTTTCAACACATACTTTCATTGTATTAAAATGATTTGGCCTGTGTTACGTATCACTCTGCAACTGATTTTTAACCGTCTTAGCTAAGAAGGAATGTATTAAATTTTGCACTGTATCTTTTAAAAGAGGAGAAAAACAAGAGCCACAGTTAATCTCTTTACCAGCAGAATACTGACCTTATGTAAATCCATTTCAGCTTTCAATTTGTTTTGAGCCCATTTCACTTTGATCACATGAGAGTTGATTTCTTCCTTCAATTTTTCAATTTCTTTTGACATTCTGGTAGCCTCACCTTCCTTTAAAAAGTTAATTTTTAGAGCAATTTAGAAATGTAGCATTTTACATCATTTTTTAATCAGTTACCTTTCCACAAGCAGCTGAAATTAAATATAGACACAAGGCACTTAAAACCCAACACAAAGCATTAGGAGAGGGAAATCTTCTTGGTGTGAAGAATGATGCCACCCTGTATCTGTACTATTTCATGGCAACTTGGATGCAAGAGTCTTATTTATTTAAAGTTTTTATGGACTGTTCTATAGCAAAACACTCAGAATGGTTTATAGAATAAACATAATCACAGTAGCAAATCCATAGTGATTGTAACAATTCAAGAACAACAAAAATCAGTAAAAAATAAAATGATGTTAATAACACAATAGACATAGATCCGCAGCAACCAATCAAACCTTACCTAAATAAAAACCAGCATAAAATCATAACCATCTTGTTCAACAATTAAAATAGAAGACCCTTCCCCTCATAGCCCATATTGGCAAGAGCTTACAGAGAAGAACCACCAGAGATGGCCTTAGGGTCTGGGAAGGTGCCTATGGAAAGAGGCGAGCCTTTAAATATCCAGGCCCTAAGTCGTTTAGAAGGCTTTATACGTCGATGTGACCACCTTGGTGTGCCCGGACATGAACTGGTAACCCATGCAGTTGATCAATAATGGGGATTCTATGTCCATACCAGCCCATCCATTAGCAGGCAGGCATACCTGTGTTCTGTACCTACTGAAGTTTCTGGACGATTTTTAAGAGCAGCCCCACGTAAAGCAGAGTGCAGCAGTCCAATCTCTGAAAAGCCTTTGAATCTCTCTCTTGCAATCAGATGGCATCAATTACATTGCAGTGCTAATGCAACAGCTAGCATTGCATGGGCTAGCAATACCAAACGGCATCCAATATGAACACTTAAAGCACTTAAATCCCATCTCCCTAATCCAGGAATCTCTGGTGGCTTACTTCACCTTTTCTTATATCACCCCTCTTACTCCCCTATCTCTCCTCCTCCTTCCTTCCCCTTGTTCTTCTTCATTTCCTCTATGTTAGCAAAAATATGGAGAAATATGGGAATGGGGGTACTAGGGACATAGGAAGCTGCCTTATGCTGGTCTTTCTAGTGCACTATGATCAAAACTGACCTGTGGTAAACCCCAACCAGGATTTCAGCAAGGGTTGTTTCCTAAAGCTACATGGAGATACGAGGGACATCACCTGGAACCTTCCGTGGGCAAAGCATGAGCTGTCCCCCTAAGCTAACATTCCTTTCCCTGGTAGGCTCATTCTGAATTCTAATTTTAACAAAACTGAGTATTTTTTAAAAATCTTAATGGAGAAGAGAAGGAGGACACAAAGCACTTGGTATAGAAAAAAGCATTCTAGTAAGTTTTATATTCTCATTACAAAGCAAAGAAAAACATTTTTAAGTGTCATGTATGAACATGTGTTTACATATAATCTAGTGTCAAGGAATCTGCACATAACACCACATGGGGGCAGCAAACCCTTCAAAGTACTGAGAAATGTGAAATAATTCTAAAAGTGGTTTCTTGGTATGACTTCTGGCCTAGGGTTCCTTTGCAATGTTTTGAGGATTTTGAAAGTCTTTCACCGCATTTTATTGTGCAATGACACACCCAAGAAAACCCTAATTAAATCTGCTCTCTGGGCTAGCTCAAAGCCAGTATATTGTTTTCACCCTTTAGATAAGGGTACAATTGAAAGCATGGTTAGACAGAAAGTTCAGTAACTCCGAGCATTCCTCAACCAGTCATCCTGGCACCTCCCAGATCGGAGCTGGTAGCTTTACTCTATGAGTAAATGCACTATATAGTAGAAAACCAAATGTACAATGTTAAACTTTACACCTGACACATAAATATTCCAGGAAACTTATCCTCCTAGGACAACGTGCCATAATATGGAACCCTCTAGATGTTTTTAACTAAAACTTCCACCACCTGCTACCAAAGTCTATGTTGGCTGGGTCTGCAGAGAACGTTGGTCCAAAACATCTGCGGTGTACTAGGCTGGAGGAGATTGCCTTAGGTAGTTAAAGGTTCTAAGGACAACTAAACCCTCCATCCTTTAGTCAGGTCCACAAGAATCTCTCCCCATAATCTAAAATCCAAAACAGGCCATGTATTCTTTGGCCAGTTAGCATCCAACAGACCGACTGGGGTGAGGATCTGCTGCCACAGAAGGATAGCTTTATTTTTTTTTCTATTTTACTACTCCCCCTCATTACAGGAATGCTTAGCTGCATATCTTTACTCTGACCCCATTATCTTCCACTTCACATTCAGATGCATAAGAAATAAAATTTGAATGTTTTCATCCATTTCTAGAACTTGAAGGAAGTGCAAGCAATATAGAACTACTAGAGATACGAGTAATATACCTTAGCTTCAAAGAGCTGATGAATGCGTGCTTTTTCCTGAGAAAGCTGCTTTATTTTGTTAGTGTGCTTCTCTATTTCTTTATTTGCATCCCTCAATTTTCTTTCTAGTGCTTCCTTTTCCTTTCGGAGGTCTAGCGACTCCTTTTCTCCTCTAACGTACTTCATTACCATAGCTTCCTTTTCTTGGCGCGCTTCTTCACATTTCTTATTTGCCTTGAATATCAAAATAAAAGTTTAATGTCAGTAATGAGAGTGAATATGTATTTCCCCCACCAATCTGGCCCAATTGATAAGAGTGTTCACTTCCATTTTGATTGATTCTGTTTTGTCCTGTTGTTTAACCCAAGCAAAGTTAGATCATCATAACTATGGTTTGTTGAAACAAGTCAACTTCAAATCACATGCCACAGAAACCAAACATGCTAAGATCAACACTTTGGGTTCAGACAATACACTAAGCTGGGGTAGATAATCTGTTGCCTCCCTGATGTTTTGAACTACAACTCCCATCAGCTAGCAAGAACAGTGATCTGGGATTATGGGAGCTGTGGCCCACAGCTTCTGGAGAGAGCAGCTCTTCTGAACTAAGTTGTAGTTAACTGAAAACAGAAATGGAAGCTTCTCCTCCTTGGGGCAGCAAGGTAGAAGAAGGCAGAGGAGAGAGCCTGAGTGTCATGGCAACTCATCCTCATAGTAGCAAACCAGTGCTCAATCTTATGTACAAACTCTCACATTGTGTTCTATTCTTTTTTTATCATATTTGTATACTGTCTTTTCTCAGAAGAGTTTCAGACCCAAATATATAAAGTTATGCTAGTTTGGTCCTCTTTGGGGTGGGCAACTTCCAGATTATTTGGCCCACAACATCAGCCCTAGTTTTCATAGCCAGTGGTGAAGGATGATGGGACTTGGGGCCCTACACATATTTTTGGATCATAAGTTGTCCATCCTTGAATTGGAGCAAAGTGGGGTTTCGACTTCTTTTGTCCAATAATACTATATTGCACTGATAATCTTAAAAGACATTTTACTTGCCTAGATAATGGCAACAGAACATGGAAGAGTCGTACACAGTACTGGATTTAGCAAACAGCTTTAATTCCAATTTCACTCTTTATCAGATCCATTGCAAAACTAATGATTCCATTTACTTGGATAGTTGTTTCAGTAGTAGTTAATTCAAATACACAAACTACTAAACATTATGGTAGCGGCAACATGCAAAAGTCACCTTTTTTGGAGTAAGTGACATGTCAGAAGTGATCAACGACAAATGTTATTTGCTTCTTATGACACACAGCAGTTTTTTCTTCTCATCCCCAAAAGAATCCACTGCTCTATAGAACAGTGCTCTACAGAGAAACTGAAAAGTACAGGATTTCTCCCATACTACCAAACTACACACCTACTTTTCATATAGGCCCACTGATTTCAAACTATGGCATTTTTTACGTTTACAATTTTCATAATTTATATGTGAGGGGCTAAATGTTATACTTCCACATTCTCCAAAATTTTTAAGCTCCAAAATTTAAGTTTTAAAATCCCTCAAAAGGCACCTGGTCTGTACGAAAAGCCATCTCTTTGTGTAGTTGCTGTATAGCATTTTTTGCAGCAGCATCTTGGGAAAGAAGTTTATCCTTAGCAGCTTTAACTTCTTTTTGTAGATCCTCTATTCTGGCCTCTAACTGCAAACAGAACAGCAGGGAATAACAGACCTACGTCAGTATGTACATCATCCATAAGGCAAAAAAAAAAAAGTTATATCCTTATTTGCAACTTGAGTAAACTTCTTAAAAACTAGACACATAAGATGTTATGACGTTTGCAGCTTGGGAGCAATTATCCTCAAGATTGCGACTGCTGCAACTCGAAACAGCAACATGGATGTGTGAAAGAACTACACAGTGGTGTTTCTGCAGCAGCAGCAAATCATAACCATCCCATTTTTTTAAGCTTGGTTTTGGACAAGAGGGCCAACACACCTTATTTTTTAATTCATATAAGCAGCTTCAAATATCCATATTATAGCTTAGTGTAAAGCGAAGTTTAAACGGGAATCAAAATATTTACCTGAAGGGCTTTTCTGCACTGTTTCACAAAAGGAACAATGTATTTTCCCCCAGAAAGCATGCTAAAAACTAATTTTTCTTCTAGATGGTACTATAAGCAGTTAGGTGGCATGTAATTTTTTTCGTTTCATATATTAGCTAGTAACACTGAATAGATGCCAATTACAAATACAAATATGTATTTCAAAGTTGCATATGAGTGGTTGCGGGCAATATCATGCACTGTTCTTTAGATTGCTAAAAACTAATTAATGTGTTTTTTCTTAAATTTAAACAATGCAAGGGAAACATATATAATTGTCCTGAAAGTTTTACAATGAAAATGTCTATATTTATAATAATATTTAAATCATATTAAATACATTTTAATTTCCTCCCCTCATATATACAGCTCTCATATGTACGGTGTATTGGATTACTACTTTTTAGCAGTAGTAAAAGTACAAGAAAAGTAAATGAAACGTGGTGAAATGTATTATACTAGATTAAACTGATTTTTTTTCTGATGTACATTATCTTATTAACCTAATTTGCCTAGGAAAATTTTCCAACCCAAAGGTTTGTCAGAATACCAATATCTTTAATTGCAAGGCTATTCACACATAAATAGCTACAATCCTACAATCAATGGAAAGGGGCCATAGAATTTTGTCAGCCATCTTTCCTGTGAGCAGAGAGGAAGATGTGCCATTGGAAAAGGTCCCATTGCTTCTCCATTGTCTCTGCTCTGATGGCAATAGGGATCAAAAAGCTGCATGCCAAGGAGTAAACTGGAAGAGGCTTGGATTCACTGGACCCAAAACCCCATTGTTCCCTGACTTCTTTCCCCAAATATGGGGAACTATGCCAGCCCTGGAGCTACTGTAAGGAATTACTCTCCAGTGTGAGTAAAAAGAAAAAGAGAAGAAAATCCGGCAAGTTACATGTAAGCAGAAAGGAAAAAATGTCTGCCCCACTCCTCCCTGGCAAAAGTTCCCTTGCCATATGGAAACCAGAGATTATATCAGTGGTCTGCCAACCAACATTCACTGCTATGGAAATTAAGCCCCATAGAAACCCTTTCTTGGTTTTAGACTGGAACTACAATGGCATGAAGAACAAACCACCAAGTCAAAGATCACTTTAGGAATGACAATATGAACAAACCCACCAAGTATGCAATATGTCTCAAATATGACATTAATAGACATAATATGACATAATATTATGACATAATATGACATTCCTATACCTGCTTGATAATGTTGAGATGCTGTTTTTCTGTTTCTGTTCTTTTTTTCAGCTCATCTCTTAAGTTGTCCTTTTCTGAACAAATGTCCAAAATTAGTTCCTGGTGCTTTTTGTTTTCTTTAATCAATCTGTCCATTAAAATAATTAAAACAATAACTGAGAAGGCAAAGCCCAGCAGTAAGATGTAAGCATTATCAAGACAACTACCTCGCCAAATTCGGAACTGCCAGAGAGCTAACATTTGTTCAAGGTGGACCTCCCTGGGGCAACTCCAATGAGCCACACTCAGGATACCACTCTTTGGCTTTAGTGACATTCTCTCCATTTTCAAAGTACAAAGTACGGTATTACCAACATTTTTAGTGACAGAGCAGAGCCTTCCAGTATGCCTAGTCTACTATCAATTATAGTACAATTATTAACAATGCAAATCAGAGGCAGAAGGCTATTGACATTTTAGCTAGATTTGTGATGGCCAGAAACCATTAAGCAAGTTGCTCCCAGTCCTATCTCAGTCCTAACCCACCATGTTCTGGCTATATTCTGTCCCCAACTGTAGAAATAAATGTTTATGGCATGACAACTGCCCAAAGCAGCAGTTGCCAAATTAACAAAGCTATCTTGTTCTGCAGCACCAGTGTAAAGCTTTGGATTGGAATGCCACCCATTTTGCAACTAATATTTCCAACAATGCCCAAACAGAAGTACTTTGAACCAGGCGATGACATTCAGAAAATGAGCTAAAGGTACAACCCTATGCAAGTTTAGGCAGAAAAGGGGAGTTACAACTTCCGGCATGCCTGAGCAAGCACAGTTTTTTTCTGTCTAAATTTGTATAGGACTATGTTTTACATCTTGGAAAACTGAGATGCAGGCTGGAGAAGAAGGCAATCTAAGGCACTGGCAGAAGTAATACTTTCCTGAGATAAGGAGAGAGAAGCAACCCTAGGACTATAGCATTTCCCTACCTAGTTCAGATTGACGGCTGCAACTAAGTCTTTTGATGCTCTGATATAGGCAAATACTTTTACTACAGCTTGCTACAACCTGTTCTTTTGCTATTGATCTCAGTTTGAGAGATTTCCCTCCTTCCTCCAAGGCAAGGATGGGCCACACACAGTTTGCATGTATCCGTTGCTGCCTCCAAATTTAAACAAACAGAAAATGGTACCCTCTATAAATAAAGTTTAGCTCAGTAGCAAGTTAAATTTAGCCTTTTAGTGCTACTGAACACGATGCAGCAGCTTGTTGATGAACTTAGGCAAAATGCCAGCATTTTTTAAACATCCCCCTCCCATTCCTACTGAATCCCATGGCAAGGGGCATCCATAAGACTAAAGAAGTCCCCAAACATTCTGCAGCTGCCCATGCAGTAATTACAATTTATTGTGTGGCTTGTCATATGAATAATCTTGCATAGTTCTAGCCATTTTGCCAATAACTGCAGGGTACTGAGGACTCTCCATTTATGGTAATATGTAAAGTTGTTCTAAAAATTGCAGCCTGTGAAGAACTACTGATACCAAGAGGTTAGTTTACCCTCCATGCTCTGCTTAGCTCTTTTTACACATAAGAAAACTCTTAAGATCTCCTTAGGAAGGGTGCAAAGTAAGACTGCAACATAAGAGGAGTCCCACTGCATCAGACCACAGGTCCATCTAACCCAGCTCCCTGATTCCAACAGCAGCCAAGCAGATGTCTGTGGGAAACCTTTAACCTGGTCATGAAGGCCTTTCCATTGTTTGTCCCCAAATATTTTTGGTATTTAAACATACACCATATCTGAACAGGCAGGTTCCATTTAACAATTGTGGTCAATACCTATTGAAAGATCTATCTTTCACAAATATGTCTGTTTCAAAGCTATCTAAGCCCAACATCCTGTGCTGTTTTACGTACATTGGTAATGTTGAAGTATGACTATCACACACGATATAAGCTGGAGTCCAAGAGCACATAAAATACAAGTATCAGATTTAACAAATATCTCACACTGATTCCTATGATACTCTAGTTTGAAAGTTTGAATTTAAAAAAATGAGTGGCATTTAATGGTTACAAAGCATTTCCATGTGTACCAGTTAATACTGAGAGTGATGATCAGGGTGTTGCACTGGGCTCTGGGAGATTCACATTCTAGTCCCCTCTTAGCAACAAGGTTAACTGGGCTTTGGGCTGGTCACAGACTCTCAGCCTGACCTACCTCACAGGGTTGCTGTGAAGATAATATTGAGAGAAGGTATAGAATTATTTAAGCTGCCACAACTTCCATGAAGGAAAAAAGGCAAGATATAACTATGTTAAAATAAGAAATTGTGAAGAGAGAGCATACACATGCATTTAATTCGCTGATTTAGAATGGAGGAATCAAATGAAAACATTAGGTTTAGAGCTCAAACTATATGATGTTCTGCCCAAAGATGCCCCAAACCTCTTCAACTCTGCTCTAGGTGCCTTGTGAAAAGAACGGCCAACTGGATTTTGAATAATTCAGGCCACTTTTTGGTACTCTTGTGGATGAAGGGCAACATGATTACATTAGAGTAGTAGCTTGAAGGTTCAAAGCTGCGTGAATATAATTCTGTACACTTCTATCATTTCTCCCTTTATTCTCCTTTTTTAAGGCTGTACCATCTCAGTTTTTTTTTCCATTCCTCATGACGCTGTTACATGCCCTTGATCATTTTAGTTGCCCTTTTCCCAACCCTACAATGATGATAAACTATGGCCCAATATACCAGCGACAATGGAGGTTTAGGGGAAAAATACAGAAAAGAGGAAAAGGACAGCACCCAATTAGGTGCGGACTGTTCCTCCTTAACATGATTTTGTGCTGAAGACTACTATATGTCTTGTACCAGCCCTTGAAAATAGCAATCACAGTATGGCTACTGGTTTATTTCCCAGGCAACAGATAACTTCATTTTGAATCTGAATTTTAACTCTTTTCAAAGTGGACTGAAATTTAATTAACAAAGAGTAACTGACAGTGTAACTCACACTGATTAAAAATGTCTTCTGTTAGATCTAGAGGTTAGCAAAACATGGGGCTTAGCTGTTGCGGTTCTCAAGTTTGACTCACGTAGAGAACATTTCCTCTAATTGTGGGATCCAGCAGCATTTTTACTGTGTCACCTTAGAACTTAAACAGATGACTGTCTGGAAATTCTTCACACACTACCCTATCCAAGCAATCTGGTGTGCTTGGAAATTCTCTTTGCAAACACAGAGTATGCCCTAGGAAAGCCTTGGCTGATAATCAGCCCACAGGCAGGAATGATGTAATTCACTATACCTTATCAGAAGTGGCAATAAAGAAAAAAAGATCAAAGTACAGAATCGTTATTGTTGCACTCAGACCCTAGAGAAGAATGAGATGGGGCTACTTCCCATCCACACAGATTTTTCATACACATTTGTAAATTAGGAAAAATGTGATGACACAAGTATACATTTTTACATTTATTTGTACATTTTGAAGCAAGCTAAAGTTAGGAAGGAGATTGGACAGATGAGATAACACTCAAGGTTCCTTCCAACCCCATGAGTTGAGAAAATGAGTAATTATCTGGCCTTGCATTTTTGCAGCATCATATCAAAATATTCTAGTGATCTGGTTTGCACATCATGAAATCAATTCATCATTGTTTAAACCCAGGATTGGTCAGGGGTGAACAAAATGAGAATTTTTCTTCCCATTCCTGTCATTCAACTTTCAATTAATACCTCAAGAACACCCTGTTCCTGGGTTGTTTCATGATCTGGAAATAATGAACTTATATTGCTTATATGCTGAACAATCCAGCGTTAACACAACAATTGACCATGCTTTGTGGTTAGGCTAACTCTAAAGTTATTTAGTTCATAAACAATGTAGAATTTTCAGGTCTGTGCTTCACAAAACAATCCAAGAATGTGGCATTTCTGGGTTGTTAAGTAAAAGTAGAAAACATTACAGTGCATCTTGCAAGCTCCATTCATTTCTGAAATTCCTGGGTTAAAGAAGCCAAGGATTGCTGTTAAGATGTGTGAACTGGGTTACTGATTATGTATGTCTGATTATTTGCCATTATTTAATAACCCCCTTGGTTAGTAAGACATTTACCCAATTGTGCTCTCTCTTATCTTGCAACCCAGAGTTCATTATTTCAAGACCATGCAACAACCCAGGAATAGGGTGTTCTTGAGGTGTTAATTGAAAGTAGAATGTCAGGAATGGGAAGAAAAAGAAGTGATTAGTGTTAACATCTAGCTTATTACAGGTTTGAATTTAACTGGCTAAAGATAATTCACTAATGAACCACTACGGACAACTGCAGCCTTTTCTAACAGCTTCTAGGAGTTATAATCATGATGGCTTTGCACTGGCAGCAAAGTCTTCCTTTTACCTCCCAAATTTTTACAAGTGCCCTCTTCTCTACTGCAGACCTCTGTGCTGTATTCTGATGTCTCCAGAGGTGTCTCTCTAACCCTCAGAAGGAACTTTTCAAGGCTTCTGGGGACTGCAGTGAATACAAGGGATTGGGAAACACTAGATGTTCTGCCTCACATAAGCAGCTTGATACTTCCTACTTGCACCACCCCTGGGTACAACCTAGAGACAGAGGTCAACTAGAACAAAAGCAAAGTAGTTTAATGTGAATTAAATGCAACCAAAGAAACTAGATTTTTACTGCTCTCTCATCAAATCTTGTACTGTTCATTGTATTGTATTCTTTTAAGTATTTGTATCATTATATGTATATATACACACTCACATATATATATGACATCTTAGTCTTAAAACTGTTTGTAATCTGCCCAGATAACATTCATTATGGGGTGGGTTAAAACATGCAATAAATAAGTGTGAAGTATGTAGAAACTTTCTTCAGTGAAAACAAACAAAAAATACTACCCTGAACTTGATGCATTCATTAGTGTAGTGACCCTTTCTATTTTTATCACTTGTTACATGCAAAATGCCAGTCCAATGATCTCTTCCCTGGTGAAAAGTGCTCCTAAAAGCGGGTAGTATTTTGTACAGTCCATGGCCAAAGAGAAGAGAAAATAGATATTCCTTGTAGGATTGTTTTTTTCCAGTCTCACCAGTACTCCTGACTGAAATTTACATTACAAACACAAGTTAGAATGAAATGGTAGCCAAAAGGAAATGGTATGCATTCTCTTCCTACACACACACCAAATGCCTTCTCCCCAGGAAGCATTGCAATGGAAAGAGGCTGTTGCACTTACCAAAATGCAGGGTAGCAAACAGTCTGCTCACCAAGACCATGATCCCCAGAGCTACTTTAAATGAGCATAGTTTTAACTAAGGAGATGGTTTACTTTTTTCATTATTTAGAAGACCCTCACATCCAATTACAGATAGCTTTCAAAGCTACTTTCAGTTCCAAAACCACTAACATCTGGTACAAAAAAAACTACCAGTTGAAGCAGGAGGAGGAATCTACAAGCCTTGGTGCACAGAACTAATTGTGTACATTCCTAGTCCTTGTCCTTGACTGAAAAACCCTGTCATGAACTTTTAAAGCACATGGTCATTTATGCATTTGCAATGAAACTAACCTCACAGCTTCTTTGGTGTTTGTACAAGCAAACAGTTAAGCTCCAAGTACATCACTATAGTTACCCAGCAGAAAGCCTTAAACTCTACAACCAGCAACAGGGAACATTCATTTTTAAAGACAATCATGTGGACATTCACCCAGTACTCACTTCTTTATTGTGTGTTCTTGCTGCAGGTATTTGTCTTGCATGCATTTTTCAAATACAGCCAATGTAGCCTCACTCTTGCAAATGCCATTTGAAAGTTTATGATCTTTCAGGAGATCTGTTGACAGGAGCTCAGATTCTATTTCTTCTAGTAAAGCCTCCTGAGAGGAAGTGTTCTGTATTGTTGAGATAAGGTTTTTAGTACAATCTGTGTCATATGGACTTTCTGAACAGTCCCCAAAAGGCCTCTTCATATGATCCTCCAATAAGTCTGCCAGGGACTGATTTGCATTATTTGTTCTCAAAACCTGCTGTTCACTGTCTCCACCAGGTAAGCTATTGTTTCTTGTGGATGCATTTGTTTGTATTTCAAACAATTTTGCACAAGAATTTCCATGAAAATCTGGTGTAAGTTGTGTTTCAATTAAGTCTCCATCCCCACTTGCTTTGGTAGCTGGTGAACTGGGATCAGTAGCTGATGAAGTGGGATCCAACTCTTTGCTTTCTGTATTGAAAGTGCTTTTTTCATCTCCAGTGCATGCAGTGTGTAGACTATCCCCAATTTCCAGTTTTTTGCCAGCTTCCTCAACAGATGATGAGCTGAAGGATTCACTCTCAGCCCTTGAAAGGTTGGCCGTCCCCAGAGAATTTTGCTCTTCTGGTAAGTACTCATCCATCCTTCCAAGGATCTAGAAGAAAATTCAAAATACAGCTCATGATATCCAGAGAAAAGAGAGAAGAGGAAATCTTGAAACAACCTCGATCATTTCAGCTATTGGTGAAGAACTTTAGGAAATTGAATAGCCAGGAAATTTCAACTGCAAACTAATCTGACATAATGCAATGTGAGGTCACATAAGAGATATGCATAGTCCTTCTGCTGACCATAACAGTAGCATGAAATTTTATTTGTTATTTTTAACCACTGAATGTTATTGGAACTCTTCCTGATTTATATGGTACACATTAAAGATACAGATGATGATATATTTATTTATTTATTTATTTATTTATTTATTTATTTATTAAAACATTTTTATGCCGCCCCATTCGCCGAAGCCTCGGGGCGGCTTACAACATAGATAAAACAAGTTAAAATCCATATAAAATAATCTTAATCAAAACTCACATTATAAAATAAGCCGCCCTGGCCAGATAAAATTCAATTGTATTTAGCATTTAAAATGTTGCTTAAATAAAAAGGTCTTAGCCTGGCGCCGAAAAACAAATAACGACGGCGCCAGGCGGACCTCTCTGGGGAGCGCATTCCATAACTTAGGCGCCACCTAAGTTTAACAGTTTAGGTTCATTTACTATCATTTCATTTACAGTTCATTTACAGTTTAGGTTCATTTACAGTTTAGGTTCATTTACAGTTTAGGATATAACAGTTTAGGTTCATTTACTATCTGCAAACTAAATTTGGGATGCATGATCTTTTTATAGGACAAGCCTCATATACATCTGCACAATAGAGAATAATGCACAACACTTATTTTTTCATGGGGTTTATATATGATTAAATATACCTTTCCTGAACCTCATGTATAAAATTCCTTTCAATGTGGAACATTTGAGTACCAGGCACAGAACAAATAGGTCTTCACTTTTTGTTTCTTAGATGTCTCCAAAAGTCTAAAGAACAAAGGATGCTCCATACCTAGCCCTGCATTTCACATGAGCAAAGAAGAATTTGTTCCATTTTTGGATAACAACAAATACTGCTTTGACTTTATGGAATGTGTAAAGCTTACAAATAAAAGGTACTCCCCCATCAGCTAAATCACTGGGTTTAGTTAAACAGGTTTCACATGCTGATTAAAGAGAGGATACTTGGAGGTATCCTCTCCCTTAACAACCTGCAGGGTCGCTGGGATCATCAGATGGCACACTCCTCATGACTGGAGTCCAGCTTGAGAAGAGCATTAGTGTGATAGCTCCCTTTCTCTAGAACTCCCTGCCTCTGAAGGTTTGGGCAAGCACCACCTTGGTCTTGCTCTTTGTACCTCCTAAATATTTATTTCAGAAAGGCTTCCTTAACTGACAGACTACAGTTTTACCTTCATCTGTTTTACCTTTCTATTATTCACAACTCTGGAATCCGTTTAGTTGTTGACTGAAATAGTATATAAATGTGAAGGACGGATGGAAGGAATCAAATTACCAGTAAAGCATAAATATATCCCCAGTTGTAACCTTTGTCTGACTGTTTCTGCTCCTAAATAGGTAAGTAGCGGGTATTAAATTGGGACAAGGCTTTGATTGCCTATTGTAGAAGTAAAAAGATTAAGTTACTGAGGGACAAGGAGCTATGATATGAAGCCAGCGCTATCAACTAGTTTAATCTGTTCCTTTAAAATGTAATCTCATTTCCTTCCAGAATAGACAATAACATCAAAAGTCTTTGTGGACAATATTTAAAAGTACTAAATATGCCTTTTCTTCTCAAAAGATCTATTTTCATTTTCCTCTCTCTTTTAAAAGCATTGAATGAAATGGGTGGATTTTCTGGCATATTTCTTGCATATTTCAATAGCATTGATTATTCTTTGAACATCTGCTCAGAGATGAATGGGGGGAACCCATCAAAACCAAAGAGAGAGAATTAGAAAAGAGAGACAATACAGATTTTATAAAATGGAGCTGACAAAATAAGATTTATTAGCAGGTGAAAATGACTTTCCTCCCATCCCCCTAAAGCACCCCTTGACCCTTCTTCAAGGAGGCAGCTGGTATGGTTCTTTCCATGCTCCAAGGGGGAAGAAAAACAGATCTTAGATTCCCCCATTCGAAAATTAGAGCACTGTTTCCGACCTTAGGTCAGAGAATCCACATTATCTTATTTCCCTGCAGATAATGTCTAGGGCCACATAGGACTGGTCTCCCCATCAGCTCCAAGTATTTCACCTTGGAACAAAAGTATTATCTGAAAATGTATAGAGAAAAAACCTTGCGTTAACTAACAGCAATGCTGAGTCTCTCATTCTTTTCATCATCAGCATCAATTGCATTATACGTGGGAAAAGGATTGGAATTGAAGATTTTTTTACACTTTCAGTCATAGGAGTTCATATTTATTTATTATTTAAAACTTTTCTATACCGTCCCATACTTAAAAGTCTCTGGACAGTTTAAACAAAACAAGAACGACAACAATTGCCCAGCATCCAATGTTAAAATGTAAACTAAAACAAACTAACAATTAAAATACTTGGAGAATAAAAAGGGTTTTGCCTGATCAAAAGCATGTGCTGGCTTCAACAGTAAGGTGACAGTATAGTCCAATCTGGCCAAGCATGAGAATTATACCTTTAATGGTCTGTTACTCAGGTAAGTAAATGGAATGGCTGGAAATAGAGGGTGACAAACACACTTATTAGGTACAGAAAGAACTATCACACTGTTATGCATATGTCCCCTCTTGGCTTTTCTTTTTACAATTAATTGTTAAATTTATATCCTTCCTTTTTTCTCTAGACAGTACCTCAAGGTGGCTTACATGGCACTCCTACTCTCCATTTTATTCTCACAACCACGATGTGACTGGCCAAAAGGCAACCAGCAAGCTTTGTGGCTGAGTGGGGACTAGAACCTGGATCTCCTGACCACTCTAACCACTATAGCATACCAGTTCTTAAAAGGGAGCTATTTTAAATATCCCCAGGGTGTGGTCTTAAGAGTTGTCCATAGAAATTAGTAGACGAATCAACATTTCTGTAGCAGGAATGGGCACAAGTTATGTTCACTCCCCTCAAACGAAATAAAATAATAAAATGGGGGAAATCAAAAGGTTAGTGTGGACAGAGAATGCCCAGTGATCAAGGAATGCTGACTAATTTTGCAGGAAGGAAAGAGAAATTAAACCTCTGAAAAGACATGCTCTACACTGCAATAATTTTTCTGTAGGGACTCAGTTCATTCCTGTACAGCAGTACTCAGAAACAAGTTTCTTCTGAATAGATTATGTCCAATTAGATTTATTCCTAGGTAACAGCATATACAATTGCAGCCTGTCTTTTCCCCATCAGTCTTCTCACAAGAATTCTCCTAAAATAATCTTTGCACTCTGGCCAGGATCCAATTGCAGATGATCTCCAAGATGAAGTTCAGTACAGTATAGTGCTTAACTACGTGGAGTGGATTTTGACCAGTATAAGGTAATGAATAACAAAATGAATAACCACCAGGAAAAAGTAGATTGGGTCTTATATTCTATATCTGAGTGGCTATGACAATGACAAATAGACTCATAACTGGAAGGGGAAATCTTGAGTTTAACAAAGCTCAATACACAGAAATGCCAACTTTTTCAAGAAGATGCTATTGGAAAAAATAAGTTTAAAGACCCCACACAAAGCTAAAAGTCAGGGCATATAACAAACTAAGAAGAACACTAAAAGAGGATAGATGTGGGTTACAGCACTGCATACTTTAATAGAGACTGCTGGCCAATACATTTTTCACTGCATTATGTTTCTCTAGCCAAATTAAGGCAAGGAACAAGCAGAGCCTATTCCTACCTCTTGCAGTAGCCAACTGCATAATTTAACTATGCAATGTGTCAGTATTTTATCCATCCTGAATCTTTCACCATTTAGTCCCTGGGTAGACTCAAAGTTCCAGTATTATGAAAACAAGAGATATTACTCTTTATTTACTTTCTCCACACCATGCATAATTTGGTACACCTCAGTCAAGTCTCCTTTTACTCACCGTTTTCTAAGCTAAACAAGTGCCAGCTGTTATAACAATACTACATGATGCATGTTAGCCAGTTTCCTTGATCCAATGCTTTTCACATTCACAAAACTGGGAAGATTTTCTCCTGCCTTAATCAGTGATTAAATTGTGTATTTCCCACTGTTGTCAAGAAACCAACACCACAAAAGATGGCAAAGCAAGCTCTCCTGAACTGCACTTAACAATAAAGGACAGCACCTTCAAACATGGACAGGGTGCCTTTTCCATACCATAGAAAACTACCTTTTAGGAATAATGAGCAGGAATTTCAAGGCAGATGGAATCATACCTCAGGAAGCTTGGGACATCTCCCTTCATATATGTTGTAGAGTTCAGTATCTACGTTACAGCATGCCCTTTTCTGAGGAAAACCTGACTGGTTCCTTCCTACCATTGGGATCAGTTATTAAATGAGGATTCCATGTGGGTGGGCTTATGTTGGCTCTGAGAAACCCAATTCTCTTCAAGAAAAATCTGCACCAAGCCACCTGGTGCAAATGATCACTAACTCTGCACTAAGGAAGTCCAGCTATAGTCTGCATAACAATCATTCTCCTTGACCTTAATCCACATGTTGGAACTCTATGCCCCTCAGAAGCCTTTCATATCCTACTGTGGATAGCTAATGCCTTCACTGCCAAATCCCAAATTCCTACTCTCCCAACCCTGCCAGTCAATGGGCTTTGGGATGTGTGTGCTAGGCTGGACTGAGGAAAACAGCATGCAGATAAGATCCTTTGTGTGCTGTCTTCTGAAGCACAACATGCTCCTGCAAGCCCACCAACAGGGAACACAATTTAAATGCGGAAGACAATGGGTGGGAAATTTCAACCCCAGATACTATCTTCCTTATTTAAACTGTACTTCCTATTGCCCAGATGGTTAGTGTTGAGAGACCCTCAGCTACTCCCAGCCCCAGTCAGCTGCGCTGGTGGTAGAGGACATATGC